GAAAGAAAACTTGTGTTGTATTTTCCTTTAACTGTTAACTGAGCTTTAAAATTAGTTTGATACAAAAAAATGTTGTTTCAAGGAGTTGAAATAAAATTGGTTTCTTTGTTTTTTATTTTTAAATTCATTATTATTTTTTGCATTTTTTTTCTTTTCAAAAAAATGTAACAAAATAAGGTCAGCATTCAAATCGCGTAGTAATTTTATACACATATACATATACACAATGATATGTATGTATATAGAATTACAAATATATTCAGGAGTACGTCAGGGCTACGTCTTATCAGAACTACGTTTCAATGTAAATACTTTACATACACACAATATATAAGTATAGTAAGTATATATATATATAATATGATTAAAAAGGCTATGAATGGATTGTTAATTAATGGGGGCATTACATATGGGGGGTCTGAAGGATAGTTTAAGCGATCTGGACAATGCTGATGATATTTGTTAAATATTGTTTTTATTTATAAATATTTATTATTATGATAGAGAGTTGTAATGATATGTTTTTTTTTTCTTATTTTTACCAATCTACAACGGTTATCATTTGATTAAACAAACATCTTGAAAATAAAAGAAAAATAATCCTAAGAATTTACGGGCTAGTGGCTTTTGTTCGGATTTTTAACACACACACACATGCATTATGTTAAATGGCTAATAAAATTTTAAGAAATAATCTAACAAAAAATAAATTTTGGTCAAAACTTATTTACATTTTTTTTAAATGATCTATAGAATAGAAAGGGAAAACATTTGTGTGTTGCTGTGATTTTCAGGACCTGTTTTTTCGATATGTACATTCAACTTCTGTTAATATTAAATTTGTTAGTAAATTTGTCTAAAACTTTAAAATCTTAGTATGTTCTTTTTAATCTATTTTGGTATCATACGCCTTAAGGGTTTAAATAATGACAACTATTCTAATTATGAATATCTGAGAGCCCTCTTGTCAAGCGTAGAAATTGGAGAGGAAAGCTCAAAACTTCATCCAGTGCAAAACTTTTCTCCATCTGTACAAAATTGTTGAAACTAGACCTTGGCGCCGTAGTCATTTGAACTCAAATTATGACTGTAAATAACCCAACATATTTGAAGTTCCTTGTTTTTTGACAGATATAGAAACATAATTGTCAAAGTGCAAAACAGAAGCAATGTTATTGGCTGGATAGGACCCCAAGTATTCTAGGCGATTTGAGTTATCATTGGTTGATGCCAATAGAGATATATTAGAGACGTTCAAAAGCGTCCGACTGAGTCGTTGGAGTTTCAACAGTGGTCTCAATATAATCCTGGGAAAAACGAACTTGTTCTATTCTCGAAAATATACAAGTTTCCCTCTTCCCACTTTTTCGCCCAAACTGAGTAGAACTGATACTCTTTGATAGTGCAAAGTATCTAGGTATAATTCTTGATTCTAAATTATCATGAAATCTAAATGTCAAAGCGGGAGCCTCTAAGTCCCAAGACTGCGAAATGGATAATAAAGCCTATTCTGATGTATGTTACACTCGTATGGTGGAAAGCTTTGGAAAAATTCACGCCTCTGCAATAATGATCACTGGTGCGATTCGTAGTACGCCATTACATGTGCACTTCGTCTTTATGCGCAGGTTGCCCGCCGATCTGATGGCCAAACAATTGGCATTAAACTCAGGTGGCAGACTGCTGCTGGCGTCTGAAGTCTAACCGCAATTATTGTGCTTCCATCCTGGGGATACTACTTACATCCCCCACTCTTCCTCCTAATAAATGAGGAAGAGTGGCGAAACATCTTGGAAACACGACGATTCCAATTCCTGTACCGGTGTGGGTGGTAGTTTCTTCATTTCCCGAGGGTGTGTTTTAAGCTACATCGTATCGTTTTGCAGACTATAGAAGAAGCGGTATATTGGTTGGGCTACTATAGGCTATATGTGCAACAGAAATATCCAATTTGTACTGACAGTAAATCTGCAATAGAAACTTTTTCAGGTGTCTACACGACACCCACACTGGTTTGCGAATGTCGGATGTCTCTTGACTATATAGCGAACCATTCGTGCCTGGAACTGCTCTGGTTACCAGGTCACTAGCAAAAACTGATTCCCGCCTTCATACAGGTGATACTGACACACTAATTGGTGCCCTACTTTCATGCTGTTAAACCCCCACTAAAAATGAACTATAAAGTTCTGCTCATAGCAGATAGTCATCACTGATCTCCTGCTCAAACATCAAGAGCGAAGGTCTATGGTTTAGAGATCTATAAAACAGCCCTGGGAGGTAATAATTACATAAAATAATTCACTACATGGTCAATTATAACTGCATACTTGTAATGTGTAATTGAGCAATTACCAATTACAATTATTTGTAATTATAATTATTGGAAATTCGCCAATTACAATTACTTGGAATTGTAATCATTCTCCCCAAGCCTGCTATAAATTAGGGCACCTGCGAAGTGTTGAAAATTATCCCAAATCTTACTTTCTCATCTGATAGAGAAAATTAATGTTCCGATGATTGTACAGAATGCAAGATATAGGATGAATACCTGTAAAGATGTTCGACGCGTGCAGTTGACGACAATATATTTAAGGGGGAATATCCAAGAGGAGAAAATAAATATCTAATTACTAAATGGTTGGTCCGGTTTTGATATAATTTAACATCCCGGATATAGGAAAATTCTAAAACCATGTAGTATGATACCAAAATCTTATATTAAAAAAATAATATGTCTCATTTTCTATTTTAGGAGGACCTTTGGAAATCTCTCTTTTAGCCAATAGCTCGCAATTCTTAGAAATAAAGGATTTTAAAGTTTCAGCTATAAGCCGCTTATAAACAGTTAAACTTTATTAAAACCAATTTCCTGTCTTATTGTCGGGAGAAAAAAAAAACTGACCGATTGTTATAAACCAATTTTAATGAATATATAATTTTATTCAGATTAAATAATTTCTCATGAATATGGGAGATAAAATTTTGTAGAAGTTTTGATAAAAGGAAGTGTTGTTGTAGTTTTATATTTTGTTTTTAATTGTACCAAATGTGTTTAATTAGTAGCAAGGTTGGTTACGATAGAAATTTTGTATTCAAATAAAAAAAAGATAAGCAAAGAAATTAAGTATTTAAAATGTTAGAATGTAGAGATAATCAAAATAAAAAAAACAATTTTTGATTGATAAAATTTTGAGTTTTTTTGGTTGCTAGAACAAAATGTTTAAATTGTTATAACAAAAATAAAAATTAAAAAAATGTATTAGATTTTTTTTCATGTTTTGTTTAGTTTAGTAACCAACCTTGACCATAAGTGTATTTTTGTTATTTTTTCCAACTGAATTTTCAAATTTCATTTTCAATCAAGTTTAAATTTTACAGCTTTTTTTACGATTTCGACCAATTTGTCATTGTCTTTAAAATACTCATACCAATGTTTAATGTGTTTTTTTATATTATTTGTTTAAATTTTTTTTAAACGTCAAATTGTCATGATTTTAACGGCTTGTGTTTTAGCGTGTTTTTTTTTTAAATTAAATTTAGTCTTATTTTTTTGTTTTATGGTGTAAAATGCATTTTTTTTCTATGGGGTGGAGGGTATTAATGATTCGACTGGGGCCGAATTTAGGACTCTAACTTGTTTTTGTAATAAAAAATCTAAGTGATAAAAAGCTTGAATAGTTTTTTTATAAGATTAAATTATTTAGTTATTTACTAAAATATTTGTTTTTTTTTGGAAAGAGAGAGTAAGTCATAGAGAGAGAGAGAGTTTTATAGAAATAAAATAAATGTATGATACATTCCTTTACATCGGATTAATGTTGGCAACTACTGGCATAGAACTACTGTTAATTAAAATTTGTAATTGAATTTATTAATGTCTCTAAAATTAAATCGATTGGTGTCATTATTTTTTATATTTTTTCTTTGTTTTTGTTTTTTCTTGTTTCTTTTTTTTATATATTCTTGTTATGAAACCATGAAAGCTGATTTAGAACTGAGGTGTTAACTAAAAATGATAAAATTTAAAAAAAAGAAAAAAATTATAATTTTTCTTTTGTAATAAAAAATATGACAAAAGTATAAAATTTACAAATAAAAACTGAAGAAATCTATTTAATTAAATGCTAGCGTTTTCATGCTTTATTTAATTTAAATCAATTTAATTTAAATTAATTTTTTTAATTTTCTTTTGTTGTTTTTCTTTTGAAATATTACAAAGAGAAAGCGGACTTTTAACTGCAAAATTTAACAATATTATGGTTACGGTAATCATATATCTGGCTGTCGTTAATATATTTTGTTTTAAAATCATCTTTGAAATGTTTATATGCTATAGACTTGTTTTCTGTAAACATATATATGTTTATGTCAAATGTTTGAATAAAAATTTAAGCAAAATATGGTTGCTGCAACCAGATATATGATTGCTGCAACCATAATAAATTACAATCGAATCATGACAATATTTTAGGAAGTTGATATTAAAGATGTTTTATTTATGAAAAACATAGTTTTAGGAAAAGTTTCGAATTATTTTTATAAAAATTTTCTTGAATTCAATTTTCTTTTAACATTCGGGAGCAGAATGTCAGTTAATTATACTAAATTTTTATTAGTTTATTAAAAGCTAAAGTTTTAGAAAAGCTTTTGAATTTATTTTATAAAATTTCAACTTTTTAAAATTGCAAAAAATTTTAAAAAATATTTATTTTAAATTCATTTAAAAAAGCTTTCTCAATTTGTAATTTTTGTTGTTTACTTAACAAACAGAAGAAAAACGAAAAATTAAAATATTATTTATTATTTTGTTGTTTTTCTTTTAACTAAATCCAGAAAACAGAAAAATGATTTAATAGAGAAATTCATATTATAATCAAGTCAAGTAAATTAAAAGAAAAAAAGTTTTGAAAAAGGGGGAAGGGGAGGTATTTAAAGAAAAAAAAAAATAAAGTTTAAAAGTATAATTATTAAATTCGGTAACCGTCTACAGGTACCTGTGGTAAGACTGATTTCCATAGCTCTCTGACGATGGCCCAAGACCTTAAATTGTGGTAGCGAAACCTCATTCGAGACACCAACCGAGTTTGGTCCTTCATTCCATTTATAACGTATATCACGCATCGTATAGCCGACTTTTGGGGATTTAATTTTGTTTGTACGATTTTTGTTTTGTATTAATATTTTTTTCAATTAAAATTGTTTTTGTTTTAAAAAATATTGTATGTACAGTTTGTTTGTTTGTTTGTATTTTTTTAAATTTGTTTAAAATTTAAAAAGAGGAGTTAAAGTTGAGTTGAAGTTGCATTAAAGGAATTTTGTATATTTTTTTGTTATTTTGCATAAAATGTGGTTCATTTGTTTTCAAAATAATTTGAAATATTTTCATTATTTCATATTTTAGTTTTTGTTTTTCAGTTTATGATATTTTTGGTTAAAGAGAAAATGTTCATATAAACAAAGAAAAAGAAATATTTGTTGTATTTTTTGTATATTGTATTTATAAATATTAAGGAAAAAAAAACAAAATTTAGATGAGACTATTATTTATTAATAATAAACTAAAAATTTATTTCACTAAATTGTAAATAAAATTTTCTTTATTCTCTTAATAATAAAGAATTAATTTTATATTAAATTATAGTTATTTCTGTTCATTGTTCACTAATAGTCTCATTCAGAATTTGTTGTTGTTAAAAGAAAAATTTTTAAAAAAATTAAAAAATATTTAGATTTGCTGTTTTATTATACATTGCTTTTGTTGTATATTTAAGTTATTTGTTGTTTATACAAAAAAAGTTATTTAAAAGCGTTAATTATTTGTTTAATTTTTAAATAAAATTCTCTATTTATTTAAAAAAATAAATATAATTGTTTGATAATTATTTAAAAGCTACTGTTTGTTCATATTGGCAGTAGTAGTGTTGGTAGTACGTTTTTTTGTTTTTGTTTTAAATTTTAAATATATAATTTTAAGTGTTCTAAATTATTAACGAATTCTTAATTTTATTTTAAGTTTTTCTTTTTGTTTTTTTTAATAACCATTTTATAAGTTGTTGTTGTTGTAGCTAAAATTGTTGCTGCTGTTAAATAATATTAAATATTTTATATCTTTTTGTTTATTCAGCTATATAAAAAGCAGTTTCAGGTGCTCTTGTGTTAACTGTTTTTTTTTTTCTATTTCATGTTCATTTCTATTTGAATTTATAGCAGGGGTATTCACTCGCCTAAGCATTTTTAGTTTTCCACTTCAAACTTACAAATACTTAAAAGCTTTAGTATTTATTTTGAAATTTTTTAAATATTTGTAAATTTTCTTTGTTTCTCATATATTTATTCTCTCTAAAAATACTTGCGTTTAATGAATACCCTTAATTTAATATTTGAATATTTATGATGGTATTTAAAAAATGCTAACTAGTTTTTCTAAATGCATTAAAAAAAGTATGTATAACGAAACCCTCCAGAGCATTTTTGTTGATATTTTATTATATAAATAATTGAATTTTTATTTTTTGTTTTTAATAATTTTTGTTCAAGTGTTGTTGTTAATCATATTGCTAAACATAAAATGTTGTTGCATAAAAAAAGGGGGAGAGGGGAAGTTGTGTTTTAGAAAACATTTTATCAGCCTACCCAAGCAAAAAAATTGGAAAAAGTGTAGTATTCAGTTTCATTTTAATTTATTTGTTTCACCTCACTTTTTCATTTAAACTTTCTATCAAAAGGTTTGGAAAAAAGATCTCAAAACGTTGGCACTTTTTATTTGTTTGTCAAAAGAGGTTAAAAGAGTTTTTGCATACAAAATCTCAGAAATCAATGAGTTTTTAAGTTTTTATTGTTATTTTTTTTTAAATCTTTGCTACAATTTGTTGTTATTTATAAAAAATAATTTAAATAAAAAAGAAAAAACAAACTGAAAATAAACAAAATAAGGTGCTTCTATAATGTTGAAATTATTGAAATTATAAATTTAGTATTTACAAAACATATAATAACGACAAATGTTAAGGAGAGTGATAGTTAAAGATTCAATCACATATAAAGATTTTTCAATTAATTAAAAAAGTAGATATTTGTATATTGTCAAATATTAAAAGAAATCTAATGATTCAGGAAAATAAATAACTTTAGATTCAGACTTCCTCTAGAAACTCTATCCGAGTACAAAGAGTATTAATTATGCCAAACATGGTTGATTTCTACAAAGTTTTTTTTAGCTGAAGGAACTGAATTAGAACTTAATTACAACTACCCTAGAATTGAGCTAGAACTGAACTAGAACTGAACTAGAACTGAACTAGAACTGAACTAGAACTGAACTAGAACTGAACTAGAACTGAACTAGAACTGAACTAGAACTGAACTAGAACTGAACTAGAACTGAACTAGAACGACTAGAACTGAACTAGAACTGAACTAGAACTGAACTAGAACTGAACTAGAACTGAACTAGAACTGAACTAGAACTGAACTAGAACTGAACTAGACTGAACTGAACTAGAACTGAACTAGAACTGAACTAGAACTGAACTAGAACTGAACTAGAACTGAACTAGAACTGAACTAGAACTGAACTAGAACTGAACTAGAACTGAACTAGAACTGAACTAGAACTGAACTAGAACTGAACTAGAACTAGAACTAGAACTGAACTAGAACTGAACTAGAACTGAACTAGAACTGAACTAGAACTGAACTAGACTGAACTAGAACTGAACTAGAACTGAACTAGAACTGAACTAGAACTGAACTAGAACTGAACTAGAACTGAACTAGAACTGAACTAGAACTGAACTAGAACTGAACTAGAACTGAACTAGAACTGAACTAGAACTGAACTAGAACTGAACTAGAACTGAACTAGAACTGAACTAGAACTGAACTAGAACTGAACTAGAACTGAACTAGAACTGAACTAGAACTGAACTAGAACTGAACTAGAACTGAACTAGAAACTGAACTAGAACTGAACTAGAACTGAACTAGAACTGAACTAGAACTGACTAGAACTGAACTAGAACTGAACTAGAACTGAACTAGAACTGAACTAGAACTGAACTAGAACTGAACTAGAACTGAACTAGAACTGAACTAGAAACTGAACTAGAACTGAAACTAGAACTGAACTAGAACTGAACTAGAACTGAACTAGAACTGAACTAGAACTGAACTAGAACTGAACTAGAACTGAACTAGAACTGAACTAGAACTGAACTAGAACTGAACTAGAACTGAACTAGAACTGAACTAGAACTGAACTAGAACTGAACTAGAACTGAACTAGAACTGAACTAGAACTGAACTAGAACTGAACTAGAACTGAACTAGAACTGAACTAGAACTGAACTAGAACTGAACTAGAACTGAACTAGAACTGAACTAGAACTAGAACTAGAACTGAACTAGAACTGAACTAGAACTGAACTAGAACTGAACTAGAACTGAACTAGAACTGAACTAGAACTGAACTAGAACTGAACTAGAACTGAACTAGAACTGAACTAGAACTGAACTAGAACTGAACTAGAACTGAACTAGAACTGAACTAGAACTGAACTAGAACTGAACTAGAACTGAACTAGAACTGAACTAGAACTGAACTAGAGAAACTGAACTAGAACTGAAGAACTGAACTAGAACTGAACTAGAACTGAACTAGAACTGAACTAGACTGAACTAGAAACTGAACTAGAACTGAACTAGAACTGACTAGAACTGAACTAGAACTGAACTAGAACTGAACTAGAACTGAACTAGAACTGAACTAGAACTGAACTAGAACTGAACTAGAACTGAACTAGAACTGAACTAGAACTGAACTAGAACTGAACTAGAACTGAACTAGAACTGAACTAGAACTGAACTAGAACTGAACTAGAACTGAACTAGAACTGAACTAGAACTGAACTAGAACTGAACTAGAACTGAACTAGAACTGACTAGAACTGAACAGAACTGAACTAGAACTGAACTAGAACTGAACTAGAATGAACTAGAACTGAACTAGAAACTGAACTAGAACTGAACTAGAACTAGAACTGAACTAGAACTGAACTAGAACTGAACTAGAACTGAACTAGAACTGAACTAGAACTGAACTAGAACTGAACTAGAACTGAACTAGAACTGAACTAGAACTGAACTAGAACTGAACTAGAACTGAACTAGAACTGAACTAGAACTGAACTAGAACTGAACTAGAACTGAACTAGAACTGAACTAGAACTGAACTAGAACTGAACTAGAACTGAACTAGAACTGAACTAGAACTGAACTAGAACTGAACTAGAACTGAACTAGAACTGAACTAGAACTGAACTAGAACTGAACTAGAACTGAACTAGAACTGAACTAGAACTGAACTAGAACTGAACTAGAACTGAACTAGAACGAAACTGAACTAGAACTGAACTAGATCTGAACTAGAACTGAACTAGAACTGAACTAGAACTGAACTAGAACTGAACTAGAACTGAACTAGAACTGAACTAGAATTGAACTAGAACTGAACTAGAACTGAATTAGAACTGAACTAGAGCTGAACTAGATCTGAACTAGAACTGAACTAGAACTGAACTAGAACTGAACTAGAACTGAACTAGAACTGAACTAGAACTGAACTAGAACTGAACTAGAACTGAACTAGAACTGAACTAGAACTGAACTAGAACTGAACTAGAACTGAACTAGAACTGAACTAGAACTGAACTAGAACTGAACTAGAACTGAACTAGAACTGAACTAGAACTGAACTAGAACTGAACTAGAACTGAACTAGAACTGAACTAGAACTGAACTAGAACTGAACTAGAACTGAACTAGAACTGAACTAGAACTGAACTAGAACTGAACTAGAACTGAACTAGAACTGAACTAGAACTGAACTAGAACTGAACTAGAACTGAACTAGAACTGAACCAGAATTATAACTAGAACTGAATTAGAACTGTAGTAGAACTGAACTAGAACTGAACTAGAACTGAAATAGAACTGAACTAAAGCTGTGCAAGAACATAAGGAGAATTTCATTCGTTTGCAACAAGACTGACTCGTCTTAAAATCCGGGTTTGGAGAACCACAAATCATGTGTCAGCATAAAGTGTTTTGTGTAGTTTATTACTAAACATTGGGT